TATAATAGTTTTTAATTAAAAAATGACAATTCTTTCCAGGTTAATTTAATAAAATACCTACATAAATTTAAGATAAAAACAGGGTTATTTAAACATTGTCAACAGTGTTTTGAAGTACAGAGAACAGTTTAGAGGATGCTGTTTCTTGTACGATAAGCAGTTAATAATATAATAAAAATACAATTAAATTGTTTGAAATACTGTTGGCAAACTAAAAATGCCAGTGCAATGTTATTAAAAAAAAAAATAACGGCACATACAGAATGTTTACGTATTATTTAAGCACTTTCACGGTGAGAAGGGACAGAAAGCAGGAGGGCACCAATGGTACATAAGCTTTTTACAAGCAAGAATTAATTACTTTTTTTATTATGATTGACCTTTAAAAGGTAGACATGAATGTCATTTATAGTGGAAATCAACGAAAAATGTAAAGGGTTTATTTAATACGCTAACGTTCCCTTCTTATTAATAAATAATATGATTAATAACCATCGTATGATTAAGTATTTTTTTGACGTTTGTTGTAGTTGTCTTTGAAACAGAATTGTACAAATTTAAATAAGTCAGGGACAAAATCCAGTGAATTTAAGTTTAGATAAGCAGTAATTGTAAGCAACCAGTTATTTATAAAGTGTTCTTAGTAATTATACTGACGAAAGGTATATATTTTATACAAGTTTTTTACGGGGTATCTACGGTAAGATTTTTATTATTATTGATGGAAGCGAACAACAACATGAAAAATTAAACTGATAAAAGTATCAGTGATTTGACGCTTTAAGTTCAAAAAGTTAGACATTTGTGTAAAAATTGAAGATCAAGAAGAATTATAGATGCTATAACTTATTTTATCGTTTTAAATTATGACACCATTTTTGTTTTGGCGTGTTTTTATTTATAATGAGTTTTCTTTAAGAAATTTTATTTTGTTGCGAGGCATTCCTTTTACCATATTTTGTTATTTATATCTTAGATAACAATCGCAGCATCGTGTATGTTTTACTTTTACTGTTTTCTTTCATTAACGTTTGACCTAGTGATGAGCAAAATTGATCTTGATCTTGCAAGACCATAATCGAACGAACAAGACTAAGACTTAAACTAAGACCGAACATACAAGAACAAGACTAAAATCAGGACCGTATATGTAAGACAAAGACTAAGTACGCAAGACTAAACGAAAAATTATTAGTTGCGGTGGATTTATGAGTTAAACTAAGTATTTGAAGCAACATAAATATATTATTTTTTGGAACAAATCATTTTTAATATTTGAAATTTTCAGTTTGTTTTGCTACATTTTAACACTAAATATAAAAAAAGAAACTTTAACACTGTGTGAAAGGATGGAACTACAAGAATTCCCACGGAGTGTTTGCGCTTAGAAGAATTATTAAAAAACATAAGTATCGGACCAAGACTTAACATGCAAGACCGAGACCAAGTACGAGACTGTATCAGTAAGACCAAGACGAAGACTGGGATAGTCTTTGTCTTTATCTTACTTTATTCATCACTAGTTTCAATTACCTACAGTTTTTACCTTCTTTTAAATTTTTGAAAAATGAAACATTTTCTAATTATCATTTGCGTTTCGCCTCTTGTTTGAAACTATTATTATTATTTAATGGTATTCTGGTGTGTAATTAAGTTTTGCCAATTGTATAATGTATGATTTTTCTGACAACGTTCTACCTCTTTTCGTAACATATTTATAAGACTTAGGGAGATGTAAAATTAGGTACAACGAAAATTATGTACCTGACGTTGCAGTGTGCAACAAAAGTTGTGTAGAATATCACTAATTAATTGAATAAAGTAATAGGCAGACTTTTAAACATTTATTTTTTCGGTTGTCTTATTGTTTGTCCTTGTTGACGGCTATCCCTTGAATTTTCCACTGAAAATAAAATAAAAATCATTAGTTCTATTAATTACGAAGTACCAACTCTGATTGTTGTTGCCATTAATTACCGCATTATAATTGGTAGTTAACTATAGAGTGAACAAATAATGTAAATAATTTTTTAACAAATTTTTATGACTACTGTACTGTACTGTATTCAATTATTTATTAACATACTAATCTAGTAAGTTTTTTCGATATTGACTTATTGCAAATTTAAAAAACTGATTCTTATATTATTGTAGCCTTGAAAAGACCTAAAAGTTAGGCGAAACGTTGGTGTGTTCAAATAATATTAAATAAATCTCATTCTTCAACTGGTTTTTCACCACTCTTCAGGGGATGATATAGGTATGTACTACTTGATAATATTTAACGTTTTAATTGTTGCAAATAAAGCGACAGAGACATTTCAGGTAATATTGGGGAATTTAATTATTGTTAACGATTAATAATACAGCAGGTTTTGATAAATTAAAGAAATTAATATTTTGCTTTCATTGAAAAGGCGTTAGTTCATTGGATAAATATTCCTTCAAGGTATTCTTCTACTTGTTAGTTTAATTTTAAACTTTTACCTTAAAAGTTAAATCAAAAATTTGCATGTTGTTTCAAAATTGTATCAATTTTCGCAAAAGCTCTATTTAATATGATTACTAACGCTAACGTCGCCGGACAGAGTTTGTAGATGAATAAAAAAAATGAACTAACTTACTATCCTTTTCCATGACTTCTTCTAAAACCTCCACTCCGTTTCTTAGAAACTTGAGCTATCACGATTACTTTCCCGCCGCCTCCACCACATCCACATCCGCCACCCCCGCATGGGTCCCTTTTCTTTCGGCTTAGGTGGTTGCCCTCCATATCTTCATTAGGCTTAAAAATAAGGATATTCATGTTTTGAAGGTGCAAAATACTGTTCATTGGTAAAATGAAAGCACTTTTACGCGTGAATCAAAAAATAATAGAGGAAAGTAAACTTGAATTATTTGATCTGAGTTGGATAATATACTTACATAATATTTAATTATTTATAAATTCAAAGTGCTCTATGGTAAAAAGCTTTTTGATGTAAATCTTTACCAATTATTATTTATGTAATCACTACATTATAAAATTTTTGTTTTCGTTTTCTCAAGAATATAAATAAGCAAGTATAAAAGAATAAAGTAGGGGAATAACTCAAATAAAATCACACCGAAACTTGTAGCACTATACACACAATTAAAATTATCAACAAATATAATGTTTAATTACTACTATAATATAATTCAGTATCCCTTAATGCTACCATGTTGTGTTTAGTATTTATTTGTTTTATTACTTTATTTGCACATATTTATTCATACTAACGGTTTTTTTATCGTTTCTGTAGCGTTATCATAAAACTAGATTATAGTACTTTATAACCGGAAGTGTGATTGTTAGAGTAATTTAAGCAATTCTTTTTTTTTTATCAAAAGCACACAGCAAGAATGCTTCTTATTATATTTGAGTAAAACTTACATTCGGTATTAATGTTGATGACAGAATTGTATTTTTGGTTAAACTTTCGGTCAACTCAGATTCGCCATCATTCAGTTTGGCATAAACGAATGAAAACATTAAAATTAAAACGCAAAGCTGTCGTAACAGGATCATGTTTACTGTCATGTATCTGCTATTTAACGGATATTTATATGTTTCCTTTAATTATAGTATGAATTATAAGCGTGAAACAGTAGGTTAAATAACTCAAGTTAAATAGGTAGAGGTAGTGCAAAATCTCATGTACCTTGTCTTTGAGCTGTCACAAAATTACTTCATTTCGTTCTGCATTTCTAGATACCTTTTAAAAACTGTTTACAATTTATCTGAAGTTCCGTTCCTGGTTGTTGATGCATAAAGGGGATGCAATAAAATAATCCTCTGGCGAGTGTGAAGACCCATGAGATTTTATACGAGCTGTAGTGGTAGTAGTTCAGTTGTTTATTCTATTATTGCTTTAATTTGTTCTATTTTGACGAATTTGTGTTTTAGTTGTTTTATATGTTTACAAAGTTCGTAAGTAGAAGGATAGATTAGTAGCCATTTTGATAGAATTTTCAGTAAAAGTTATAGAACAGCATCAGTAAATTGTGGAACTGGAACATTACTTTCTTAGTAATCTCACTCAGGACAGTAACTTGAAACTTGAAATTTTATTTTATGTTTAAATTTCAATGTATAAAAGCGGAATTTTTAAAAAACAAGGTTTCGTACGCCCATGCTTTTTTTGAGCAGCAATTTGTGCAACAGTTTCCTTTAACGTAATTATAACATTTGCAGAAGCAGAATAAACACTGTTAATTACCTTTTATCTAGTTATGCAAAGGACGGGTAAGTACCGCTGTAAGTGAGGGTTTGTGCACGCTGAAAGAAAATGCAACTGCAATTAAACACGCCGCAAAGTCACGAAAATACTTTTTAATTATCCATATTTCTATATAAGAGACAGCATCGCGAGATTCTGTAAAAATATCTAACCAAAATGAACCCGTTAATGGTAAGCTTTTTTGTTGTTATAACCTTTACTCATTTTACTTTATACAACAAACTTTTTACCAAGGTGTTTAGTTCCAAATTGAGCTTTATAGTTTCCT